CTGCACTGGATTAAAATCATCTTCTACTACTTTAAAAAGTGTAATTATAACCTTGAATAATTTTAATCATGGACAGATAAAATTTCTCGGAGAAACATTCAAATTGTGTTCATCACTGGAAAACGTTCATTTATCTTTGAGTACTAATGTCGGTAATGGATTTAGTATGATTTGTAATGGATTAAAGTCCTCTGCCAAAGCCTTAAGAGTGATCAATCTAAGTTGTAATTATTTAAATCCAGAACAATCAGAATATTTAGGCGAAACCTTTCAAAATTGTACTTTCTTGGAAAGCATAGATTTATCTCAAAATAGGAATATGGGTGATAATGGATTCAAAATGATATGCAATGGAATCAAGTCGTCTTATGAATCTTTAAGAACAATTTACTTAAATCGGTGCGGCTTAAATGATCAACAAGCCAGCTATCTTGGCGAAATGTTTCGACAGTGCACTTCCTTAGAATATGTGGATTTATCTTCTAACCCTAATATGGATAATATTGGATTTAAAGTCATTTCTTATGGTCTTATCTCCTCTAAAATAACTTTAAAAACAATTAAACTAAATTCATGCAGTTTAAATAGTACTCAAGCAGAATATCTAGGAGAATCGTTTCAACAATGCTCTTCTCTTGAAAATGTGGATATAAATTTCAATAAGACAATGGAAATTGGATTTAAATCAATTTGCAAAGGATTGAAAACGTCTTCAAACTGTTTAAAAACGATAAATGTAAAAATGTGTGATTTGAATGAGGAGCAAACAAGTTATCTTGGCGAGGCAATTCAATATTGTTCATTTTTAGAAAATCTTGATTTATATGAGAATAGGAATATGGGAAATGGATTTAAAATGATTTGTGATGGATTAAAGTCATCTTCAAACAGTTTTAAAACAATTAATATTGGTTGGTGTAATTTAAATAATATTCAAGCAGGCTGGCTTGGAGAAACATTTGAGTTTTGTTCATCATTAGAAAATGTTGATTTAACTGAAAATAGTAATATGGGAAATGGATTTAAAACAATTTGTAATGGATTCGAAACATCTTCCTACACTTTAAAGTCAATCTCTGTCAATAGGTGCAATTTGAATGAAGAACAAGCAAAACCTCTAGGAGAAGCACTCTCCCTTTGTTCTTCATTACAGAATTTGAATTTAAATGGAAATGGTAACATGAAAAATGGATTTAAAGAAATTTGTGATGGCTTGAAATTGACATATAAAATTCTGAAAAAAATGAATGCTAGAATGCTAACTTTAAATGATGAGCAGTCAAGATATCTGTCAAATATCACTGAAATTTTACTTTAATAAAATATGATTAGGAGAGATTATTAATTTTTTAGCACATGATTTACCTTAAATCAACTATTTTTTTAAACATAGGATAGGACAACCCAAGCTTTCTATAATTTGTTACGATACCAATATAATAATCCACAAAGTATGCTTATAGGCATGTAGCCTATCACAGATAGTACATTATTTAGAATATGATAGAAGAAGCCCGAACTAAGGCAGAAGTCGCCCACAGGAGTGACAGAAGTTGCCCCACTGGTGAAGTTTTTAACTAATGAAACAAGATACCATTTTACCAGTTTTATCATAGCGGACTGTTTTACTGGACTAAATGCTGAATTATATGCCCCCCTGGACAAAATATCTCTTGTAATAAATGTTCCTTGAACATACTGTAGCATAGTTAAAAATTTCTTAAAGATATGACGCATTTTTCCAACGGAGAAAGAATTATCCCTTCAAGTGGCTCTTCATACTTTGTTTCTGACACTCAATCTGCATTTAACTATATTTGCAGTTTTTTCATTTACAGTAAAACTGTATCCTGCACGCAAGAGGAAATTTTTTCTTTTTTGAGTTATTACTTCCAATAAAGTGAATGCAGGTCAATATATTTTAAAGAAAGAAATGAAACAGCGTAAAATCTGAACTTTGGACTTTTATAGAATTTAGAAAATCATCTCAACTAAAGATATTTTAGATATTTTAAGAAGAAACACAAAAGTAACTGATACGTTTCGTTGTTTTAAATAACAATTTCGGAAATACAAAAGAAGAAACTTTAAACTATTTGCAATTATCCAATTTTTATCGATAGGTACAAGTAAAGTCGTTGCATTGCCGTATTGTGGTGTGGACCACTGTAACTTATAATCTCTCCGTAACTAGTATATGAACTAGTTGAAAACATACCATTTTCTGCCAAACATTAAAAGTAATTAAATCATCCTCAATGCCAACAATGTCAGTGATACTTAATCCCAAAGAAATATTACCATATCCGGGAAACATTATATCTTTATTATATCCACTAAATAAATCATCATACAATTTAGCAGTATATGCATATTTCTTTTAAAAGATATCATAAATAATATGTCTGAAAGAAGAAGAAAAATAAAGCGGATAAAGGGAAAAAACTTACGATCCATATTACATTCTCTTTTATTTGAAAAATTCCATTTTAGAACAATTTTTCAGCATAATTCCAATTTTGATTATTTTCTGTTAGATTGTAATTGCTAAAATCAAGAGTTTGTAAACTATCGGAGGATTGAATGAGCCCATCACAAAGTCCATTTCCCATTAGTTTATTAATGTCTAAATTGATTAATTCAATTTTAAAGCATTGATTTAGCACATTTTCAATCTGTGTAGTTTGACTTTCAGTTAAATTACAATTAGAAAAATCAAGATGCTTTAGAGTATTTAATGATTGGAGAAGACCATTACAAATTTCAACTACTCCATTTCTCAAGTCGCATTAGTTTTGTGATATTGCTAAGCCAGAATAATATTAAAAATGCTCTTAACTAATTAACTCGTTCATTAATCTTTTATCATTATAATACTCGATACAATATAGTTTGTCTTTCTTCTAGTGTCAGTATTTCTCGATTTGTTTTGTTTGTAAAATAACAAAAACCCAAAAGATGGCGCCACTCTCTTTCTTAAAAGTGTGTAGTCTGCCTAAACTTTTCTTAAGTATAAGTAAAAAAAATTGTGGAAATAAAGCAATATTTACAAACTGTCATCTACAATTAACCAATGAGATGTAACTAATTTTAGCAAGCCTTTCAATTTCATTAAATACAATAGAAGACTAAATGGATGTTTTTCTTCACTCTCGTTCTCTTCTTAATATAAAAGTTCACAATGGCTGTTTTGTACCAGAAGAATTCATGTTACTTTTTCAAGGCTATGAAGTGTTAATGCTACTATTGTGGATATCTGTCAAAGTCTCAAAGGGCAATTAAATAATCAAGAATTCAGTGAGCGTTTTCAACGATAACCAGATTTAAATATTGGTGACACCTATTACTACAAATATCCTTTTTTTAATTACGACCTATATCGGGAAGTTATGTAACAAGTCAAAAAGTTTTCAAGAAGATTTAAGAGATAATCATTTATCTACAAGACATTTTCCCATTGCTTTTAAAGCTAGTCAAATACATCGCAAATATCCTTTTATCTTAATATACACGTTGTAGCTTGTTTATTTCATTAAAAGTGATAATTGGTTTTTGGTAACCCTGTATATCATAGCTAGCTGTAGGTATGTGAGAAAACGTCCTAAAAATTTGAACATTTACCACAACCCCTAACGCATTAGATACTAATCTTCTTTCAAAGTGAACATGTATTGGTATTCCACTGAACCTTATCTATCTCCCACATTTTCTGACTGATTAGCGGGGACGTCGCCCTAGGTGAAACTTGCTATGCAACAAACATCTTGAGCTATTGGGCTTCCAAGCAAAATTTTCTTCCCGATTTCGTTATTTGCACATAAACCTAAGCGTCCGGAGAACTTTTCGAATTGTAAATAAAATAATTGCACGTCTTAAATCAGCATATAGAGTTGCATAAACTTTTCTGTACTGAACCTAAGTAATTGTAAATTGAGCTCAAAGATTGGCTGTGTTGTTGATGAAACAATAGAATCTCAAAGGCTGTAGTGTCAAAGAACAATTACAGATACGAACTTTCACAATATGTTTTAATTATATATTATCTTTTAATATGAATGCAACAGGTCATCTGACTACTCTCTGTCTTTCCTTTAATGAAGCAGGAACGTTGCTTCTTTGTATGATATTTTATTGATTTTTATCTACTGGTCTGATATAGTATAAAATAGAGATATCGCAAACGTTTTTTTTTCATTAATAAATAATCGTGTAGCAATTACAGCAAGCGAGAAATTCAATATTCAAGTTTAGTAACGTTAATAAAAGTATTGAAAATTCTATGTTAAGATGACCTTTCTTACAAAAAATAAACCTTTTAGTAATACCAATGGTGTTCATGGATTGTAAAATAAACTAATTAAGAGGAAAAATAATGAATAATTGAATGGCAATAAAAAAGAACTTTATTTTTATATTCATATTTCAGAATTTAATATGTTTTTTCAAAGCAAGAGTTTAGTTTTTAAATAGCCATTTAAATGATAAAATACTCAGTTTACCTTTATTTTGCGTGTGTTTATTATACTTTACAGTTCAAAGGTATGAAATTCTGTAGTCGTGCTTTTTATCCTTTTTCATGTAATTTTATAGTTCTAGGTAGTTGTGTTTCTCATCATGACTGTCTATACTTCTATGGTAAATGCATTAAAGGAAATTGTCAGTGTCCCCCTATATTTGACGGATTATTGTGTAACACAGGTATTATATTTGACAATAAAACAGTCTGACTTTTTTGTAAGTTTATATTATTTTTTCATAAAAAGTCTCCGACTATGTTTTCTTGGAAAATGTTGATTGTCAGCGGAATAACGTATCTGAACATAGTATTAAAATAGATAATACGAACATTTCAACTGCACTTTCTCTATGTTGGAATTTGTGTAAGCAAAAAGAGTCGCTTTGTCAAGTAATGTCTTTAAAATCTAAAGACAATTTAACAAAATCGACCTGCTCTCTAAAATCTATCTGCCAACCAAAGATATTCGAGGCTGGAAATTACTCTCAAATTTTTTCAACCATTCAAATTCGTTAGTATTCTACAAAACGTAATAAATAGTTTTAAAAATTGGCCAATCTGCAAAGTATTAAAGGAACGTTTACTCAAAAATTTATTCTGTAAATTAAATGTTGATCCGTTTTATATTTCTATACCAAAATACTACGAAAATAAATAAAACCAGTATAATTTTCCAGGTGATTTCGAATCAGATATTTGCTTGAACAACCAATTTAAAAACTTCAGTAAAATATGTATTGCTGGCATTTGGAATAGATATTCAAAATGTCATTCAACAGAATATTGGTTCAAAAAAAATTACCATCTATGGAATGAAATGTATATGGAAAATTCAGAATCAATGTATACCATAAAATCAATAATAGATAAGTATGGAGAGATAATCTCCGGATTAAATGTATCAAAATCTGTTCAAGAACACTTGCAGAATAACTTTTGTCTCGGTATTCAATCTGCTGGAAAGCATAATGTTGCGCTAAATAAAGCAATAATACATAACGCAATAGTAGCTTATCCAAATAAAATTTATCATGACAGCCATTTAGTTGATGGGATAAAAAATGGTCAAGATTTATTAGGCGGTTGTACGAAACTGGAAAGAGATAATGACGATTTTTGGATAATGATTGACCTAATTGAAATGTACACTATAAGAGAAATAATTATGTATCCACCTAACATTTCAGGTATGATTATTAAATTTGGGAACAAAGTGGGTTAAAATTGTGCATCCAATAAACATTGTTTTATAGGCTATAATGAGAAAATGAGTATATTCGTCACGAATTGGACTGATTCTAGCGATGTGTGCATTGAAAACGCAGTGTTACATTCTATGAATAAGACAAGCAAATTTACGTGCCAGAGTGATATATATTTAGCCCGCTTTATCAATATTTCTCTTCCGGAAATATCTAATATAACAATATGCGAAATTGAAGCTTATTGTGGTAAAAATTTTCTTTTTTTCAATTTTTTCCATCAGTTTTAAATTATCCTGTGAAAAAAATTCAGATAATTTAGCGCTGAACGCCGACGTTTTCGTTTCAAATGTCAAATCCGGATCATACGCCTATGCCGAATATCCTCTTCAGGAAAAGCATTTATCGAAAAAGTACACTTCTTCTTCAACCTCAGCACAAAATGGCAATTTCTTCTACGCCATGTTTTTAAAAGGAAAATTTCTAATCTATGGAATAGATTTATATGGAATTTCTATTTCTACAGAATTTCAAATATTTGTGACAAATAGAAATTTTCTATTAGATAAAACTTTATTAAAGAGCGAAGAATGCTGTAAAATATCAAAAATTTTGGTTGAAGACGATATAAGTCTCTCCTGTGTCTATCCTCTAATTGGTGAATTTGTAATCATTAGCAGTAACTATAGCAACCATAATAGCATAGTTATTTCAAGAATTGAAATTAGAGGATTAACAATTGACAAAGCAGGTAAAAAGGTTGTTTTCACCTTTTAATTAGTAATTATTATATTGTTTTAAAGACTTTGTAAATAATGCATTTGGAAAACCGGCTTGGTTCTCTTCGACACTATTCATACCTGGTCATGCTGAAGAGCCATTCTATGCAACCTTTGCAACAGATGGATTTACCAAACATCATTTCTCACTCAGTAAACCAAAAGCTTGGTTGTTGGTTGATCTTTTAAGGATAGTTAGAGTTGATTACACAGCAATAAAATTGAGGCATATCATTTACAGTAAGATAACTATTTGATCAAGATAATCCATTCATTTTCCAAACGATTATCAAACAGAAAGTCAGAGATATACAACTCTAAATTTTAAAATATTAGAAACTATAAATGAAGACGTGAACAAATTTGTGAAAATAGACGCTTCAGAATGTTCTTCTGGAGATCTTGATAACTTTTCAGCAAAATCTGGTAGTATTTTCGTATGGAAATGTTCTCCCAACAAAATTGGCCGTTTTCTATTGATATATTCTCTAAGTCAAAACGTGGAAGTATACGAGCTGTATATAATTGGACTATCTTTCGACAACAAATACTTTTCCTCCATAGAAATTCCAATGGAGGAAGCATTTGCAAACAACAATTCTTTTTGGGATTACGACAATTCTCCACTAAAAGTTATTGATGGAAACTTTTATAATTTAAAGAAAATTCCAAGATATTCTTCATGTTCAAAACTAACGTCAGAGAGTGAAATTATCCTCACAATAAAATTTAAGAGCAGATATTACGTTAATCAAATTATCCTATATCCGCTTTTTGATACAGATATTGGTAAATGAGATATAATTTGCTTTGAGTTCAATCAATGAACATCTCTCATTCAATTCAAAACAGATTCGCTATATAATGTTTCGATATACGTTGCATTTGACAATGGAGTCGATCGGCAATTTTGCGGGAGATTGACTGATAAAGTGGAACCAATAAGATCTCTTATTCTGATCAATTGCCACCAACCCATAGAAGGAAATCAACTGTTAATCGTCAAAAATCTTTCAAGAAAAAATGAGTTGCATTTTTGTGAAGTAAAAGCGTTTGGTAGATTATCAGGTAATTCAGCGAATCAACAAGATATTTGTGAAGCATGATGAAAGTAGACGCTTTCTTAATATTCAGTGGAATAGGGAAATTTTTTCAAATCGCAAAAGCTCATTACAATGTTGACTTTGCTGGAAAATCAATAGAGTCCATTATATAACGAATACTATCTTGTTATATGAATCATACAAGTGTATTTATATTGTAAGCTAATTTAAACACTGAGAGAAAGAAATGCAGGACAATAGTGTTTTATTTCCAAGAAATCATTTTGTAAGTTAGTCAATGACCTGGACTAGCAGGGTTAAGGTTTTAGGGTTAGGATTAGGTTAATTTGAGAACATAATTATGTCAATATCTAAGATTTTTTTCTTTAAAACAGCCTTAAGAGAAATTTCGTGGTTAAAAATAACAAAAGAAAAGAAATTGAAATCAAGTACATTAATTCTGTCGCAACTGCAAAAGGAACAGACTTTTATATCTTGTTTAATTTTATGTAAATTAAACATGTGCCTATCTTTCTCCTACAATTTCAAGGAGAAGGAGTGCCTTCTAACTTCCTCGAATATTACGAATGAACTTGAAGATTCACTCGATTCGGCTGTTGGACATACATTATTAGTGAATGTTGGTAAAAAATCAGAGAAAAAATGCCAAGTATGAACATATAGAGACTAATAATTCTTCAATGAATGTTTCTCTCTCTGTCTCAATTTCTTTTCTTTATATTACAAAAATACACGAATACTCGAACATTTCCTCAGTTTTCAGTGTGTAAATGCAATGATGGGAGAAAGGAATGATAAATTCTATAAATTTCAACAATTTCCCTCAGTATTTTTATCTCAAATAAATTGAAAAAATGTGTATAAAGGTAAAAAAGAGTGCTCAATTATGAATGAAGCCATAGATATCTATGCAGAAAAGCTAATATATAGGGAATATAACGTTTTGTTTTTAGTTATGCAAACGAAAAATGCAAGATTGTGATTAGTACCATCTTTAGTAAACCTAATCCCAACTTCAATCTGTTGGAACATTTACAATAAGTCTCACTCAATTATTCTATCCAAAAGTTGTTAAACTTAATTTTATTACCGCTCGGGATCTAGTCTTACCTAAAATTAGAAACTTCCAAAAAGATGCGTCATAATGAGCAATGTCAGGAGAAGAGCTGCCAGTTTTGACTAAATTGCGTTTTTGAAAGATTAGCATTAAATAAATCAGCATTCAATCAACAACAAACGGATAAATTAACGTCTAACAAAAACTTCTGTCATCATTGTTGAAGATCTGTTCTTTGTGGTCGTACCACAAAACGATATAATTTACTGTTGTAACCGTATGAAACGGTTGCTATATTCTAAAAGAACGTTGAAAACGAAATCACATGTGAATAGTGATTATACAATTATGAGATGTGATTCTTGCAGTACATAAAGCTAATGATAACTACCACATTTGTTTGAACAACGATGCCCAAACGACAAACTCTTGCAGTGTAAGATCTGAGTAACGATACAGATACTAGATGATTGTTTAATGATTTCTATTTTTAGGGTGATTCTGGTGGTCCACTCAACTGTCCTATTAGCCCTAACAACTCGATGCAAATTGCTGGTGTTACGTCATTCGGTATCATTTTCTGCCCACCAAACCGACCAGCCGGATACGCCCGCGTTTCTTTCTACCGCCAATGGATTGAAGACAATATGTCTTAAATTACATTCAAAATGTGTGAAACTTAAAAATAAATTGATGAATTTAAAATACCACTCGTTGAATTTTAACTTTAGAGTGGCAGTTGTCTACGTGAAAAGGAAAACTCTTCACTCTATTCTCCTTTTTGTATCTTTGTTAATGAAGGTAGTTGTAGTAGAAAGTTTCATAAACAAGTATGGAAATTAGGTCAATACGAATTTTTTCTTAAATCCCTCGCATTGATCGATCTACTCTCTTCGGCTATTGTTGTTTGTCATTAGTTTATGTTAAGGAAGCTCGCAATTATTTTTTACCTATAACAAAACCAATCATTTGCAATACTGTTATAACGTTAAGCAACATTTTCCCGTGGAAAGTTTCCTCTTACTCATCTCTGAAAAAAATTTCTAGCTGTTGTGAAGCTATTTGTAGGAATAAGTAAAACAAAATTCGAGCTATTCACTTTTTGTACAGTTTACTCATCAAAACGTTATCAGTTTGCCACTCATTCGATAACGAATCGGTGGAGAGAAAATATCTGTGTTATTCTTCTGGTAATAATCTACTACCTGGAAGATTTGCCTTATATGTTTCGTCAATTCTTGTACCCTTTGTACTCTTTTTATCAATTCTTATTCGATGTAAATGTATTCATGAATTAATAAAGCGAAAAAGAATTATTTGTAATAATTCATGTGCTAAACATAGAAAGTCGAGCAAGAGAATCGTTAGACATGTATTTGTATCTTTTATCTATAATGTTTAGCTGTCCATTCGTTTTCCAGCAAACACATTGTTAATAAAAAAGAGTCCATGTGTAATCATATTATCCATATAAATTCCCTTTATAATAAATTAATATTAGGTAGACAACTTAGTTAAATATTTCACAGACTGTTTTCAGGATCTGGAAAATGACACGCCTATTCTATTTCGAGAATTAAATCGACCATTTATTTTGTGTTTATTTGGAGGTGCTTGTCTGAACTCAATATGCAAATGAGGTACGATTGTACAACTTTACAATTTTGAACTATATGAGCATGATATGAACAAATGAAAAGCATACTTACCTGGCAGAAGGAATTGCTACGATCGACAAGGTAGCTTCCTCAGACTGAGGCCTTTCCATTGCACTTCGGATTGGTTGACGTCTGCGATCATCTCACATTGAGATGACTCGACTGTACAATTTTTGTTAGTGGGAGATCAGCGTTCGCGCGGTCTCCTTTATGTTTCAAAGTCAATCTCTTTAGTCTAGTTGATCAATCTTAATGTCGCCTTTATAAGTGAAATTGGCTGACTTTATTAGCCTACACAGGCACTCTCAAATCTTTATCATTTCAAAAATCTAACGAAAAATAAGGATCTTAGAATGTATGCAAGTTTGTTATAGGACATTTTTGGATGCGACAGAAAACGTCCACAAATCAGTGCTTTTACCCTAACCCAGCTCTTGGCTGTATTTAACTTTTTTCATTACCCCTAACCCTTAGAGGAGACCCTCCTAAGTACAAATCAGTTGCTCTCTTCTTCTTCCTAACCATTTCTTAATCAAAAATTTAGCCTTGAAATTTCCCATTTGTGGACGTTTTCTGTTGACCCCGACATTTTTATTCAATACTCTAGTCAGTTCAATATTATATATTTATTGAATACGACAGAAAACGGCCACAAAATTTTGAAATATATAATAAATTTAAAAGAACAAGCTATAAAAGTATCAATATATTTTTTTGGTGGAGTAATTGTTTTACATCAAGTTTAAAGTTCTAAACGTCTACCTGAAGCAAGTAAAAACTTTGTAATAATGTTTCAGTTTACATCCCTTATACTATAAATGAACATGTCAAGTGACCAAAACATGTTCATATTTATTTTAAAGAAAGTACGAATGCTATAGTCGTATACACCTTTTAAAGGTTTATTTCTTCCATTCGAAAAAGACCTTTCTTCAAATTGAATAAAATATTTTGAACCTAGAAAATTTTTCAATACTTGTCAATGTTATATTTAGTTCAATTAATATGAATGATAGAAAACATCAAACAGAAAAAAATACATGACAAAAAGAGTGAGAATAGAAACATTGTGATTACGACTAAACATTGCTGCTACATTTGAATGAAAAATCAAGAAATATACAACTTTTAAAAGGAAACAAAGTAAACAAAAGTAGATTTGCTATAATAGTTTTGTTAACTTAAGTAAAACTCTTGTAGTGAGAAATTGTTCACACTGAAGACTCAAATTGACAATGAAGAAAATATTTCATCCTCTCTTAATGTATTTCCTGTATTTACTACCAATGATTTCGCATTTGCTGCCTCTTTTTTATTTAATGTTCAAGAAGAATATAGATTATACTGACAATGAAGATACAGCAACCAATACTCCATGTTTAGAGAAAGTAAAGAATCTTGGTTATTTTTTTTGTTTTGCTAAAGAAATCTTCTCTTCTTTACACCGTTTTAGAATAAATTACGACAATTTGGTGCTTTTTGCTTCTGTTCAACCAATGATTGTGTATGAACTAACCCTCTCATCCAACGCGAAGGAACTGGAGTTTATTTTATTTTTATTAAAATTATTGAACGTTTTTGGCACACCTGTAATGTTAAAATATTATCTTCACTATAGAAACATTGATTTCTTTTTATATTCAATCGTTTATTGGATAATTTTTTTCCTGGCAGATTTTTTAGTGGCTGTATATTTTTTATCTTGTTTTGTTGTTAAGAATATTTTATATAATTTTCAAAATTTTAGCTTTCCTGTTTTTACCATCCTTTTCAAGAGAATCACTATAAAAAGGAAATTAATTGCTATTGTATCTCTTCTGTTATATGGATGTATAATTTATAAGATTTGGTCCACTTTTAGGTGATACTCGTAAAAAAGGAAGCATAAAGTGGTTGATAACCTGCGACTTGTTCTGTATGTTAAAAACACATACTCGATCATTTTTTATTGGCTCATCACTTTTCAACAGGTAAATTTTCATGTTGCATTGCAAGTACACATTCATTCGGTTTATGTTGTAAAAGTACTCAAATATTTCAATGTTTATATTTTAATAAAGTTGATTTAGTTTATTGAAAGTGTCGGAATTTCATATTCGTTTTGCAAATCAAATTATCTTTTCAAGTTGAGGCTCCAAAGAACAGGCAATACGGTGAAATATTTGGTAGTGAGAAAAGAAAACACGTGAAATTTTATACTGTTGTTTCCATTTCTTTCTTTTACATACATTTTTCTGTTAATCATCTTTTTTGAATAATTCTTCTTTTCAATTTTGCAATAGAGACAAATTTAAAAGAAATCTCTTTTCTGGGGGCATTTTCTCATTTCAAATAATTTGAAAGAGACAGGCTTGTGATTGTAATATATTAGTAGAGAATACTTTCTTTGTCGTAAGAAAAAAAGCTACTTTCATCAACAGATTGGTTAAGTATTCACTGTATATGATACGAACACAAGCTCCCTGCATAGAGCTGCTAGGCTTGATTATATATCAATATATACTAAAGTTAATATACAGAGAGTCAAGTGAATTTTATGCGGAAGACAAACCTTAAAGTAATGAATATCTAATTCTTGCCATTGCTAATGCAGCAGCATTTTTCAGCTGTAGGGCTGGTTTCTTGAGGACGTGTTCACTTTGGGCCTAGGCCAAGAGTATTCTAAGGTCAGGAAAATGTCAAATTTGTTAACGCAGACTGTGTTAGGGTTAAAAATAAGGTTTCCAGTCCATTGTTCGAAAAAATTTTTGAGAGCAAAATAAGAAGGCAAAATTTTTGTCATCTGTATCAATCAATATATAATCATCTGGTAAAAGTTGTTAAATTGCTGAAGTATCTATTTGGTCATTTAACTTTTTACAAGAGATGAAACACATAAGCAACTTTCAGATTCCATCCGATAAATCACTAAAAGTATAGTTAACTCATACCTGTAACTATCTTACATTCGGAATATGCCAAATTTTATGGATTTAATTTAGGACATTGTGGGCAGTTTGAACTTTAATGCACGTCA